CGCACATAAAATCAACAGCAATGAAGTATCCACATTATGCTTACACTATCGCTCATCGATCCCGCGCATAATTATCACATTTCTCTGCCCATTGACAAAGCTGCCTTTATGTGACTGATGAGTTATTTCCCTGCCTCATATAAAGACAATGGCAGCTAATAACTGCTGGTCTAATCTACTCTTATCACTACTTCTATTGACCCTCCCTCTACGGCTTTCAATCTGTCCATCATTTTCTTTCCCTTTTTTTCTTTTCCTCACATTGTCTGCACTTCTATGACAACTCGTGCAGGGCCAAAGACAGGGCAAGCTCGCAAATATTGACTTTCCAGTAACACGAGAGAGCGAGCAGCCGCCGCCGATGGTATGGCTCAAATTAAAGCATTATGCCGTAATAGAGCAGAGACGGGGTTAGGACCTTGTTACTGCCACCCTGAGGCCTCTGCTTTCTCTCTGCGCTCAGGCCTGGGAGTTGTGGCGTTTTTTTGGAACCTGCGCGGTCTAATTGGAGGCGCTATATGCAATAATTGGAGTCTGCAACATGTGGTTTTAAGACGGCGTTAAACGGTAATAAGCGCTCAAAGCAAGTGTTGCGTTCTATTAGCCTTTTGAACTAAAGTGCAATGACAAGACTGAACAGTAATATGCAAGGAAACGTTAAAGGGGGCCACAGCAATATGGACGGATAAACAAAGTACAGTATGTGAAATGTTGTAAAGGTCTCCAACGTGAAATCCTACATCTATGAAAAACAAACTGGATGACCTCAATGGTATGATTGTGTTTTGTAAAGTCCGTCTTAAAGAAATATTAAACATTAACTTGTATCTATTTAAAATGATATTGATACTATATGTCATGTAAGCCGTCTGTAAGCACCCAGGGCCCGAAGCTCTTTTTAAAAACTACTCCTCAACATGTGCTTAGGTAGACAAGCCTCCTTCAGGAACATGGGAGCACGGACCCAGCCGCTGTTCCCTTTCTGCATTCCCCAATAAAAGTCTGAACCCTCTGCTTTGGAAAGACATTTGGAAACAATCACAAGCGTGTTCTAGCCCCTATCAATCCCCCATAGATAAGGTATCTGCTGAGCCTGCGGCACAAGGATCTCATCACCTTGACTTCCTGTAGCCGTTTAGGGTCCCCTGGTTTTCACCCCTGTCTGAGGAGAGAGCAGACACTGGGCTCTCATGTGTCCACTGCTTTGGCCCCGGGGCTAACTAGGCGCTGATGGACTGAGGGAGTCCAAACTGAAGCCTGCGTTTTATAGTGCTTCATACGACAGCTGGATTAGAAAGGTTTCTTGGTTCTTTTCAGTTCAATGTCACTGTGAGCAATAAAACAGTGGTTCCCAACTGGCAGGCCGCAGGATTATTTAGGAATAATTTTTAAAACATGTATTGATTACACTGCAAAAATGTAAGCCAGATATAAATAACATTTTCCTTGAAGAGATTCACTAGATCTACTGAAAATGTAAGGATATTTTTTCTGCCCCAATGGCAGATATACACAAATAAAACAAATAGTCTTTCTTCTTGTTCATGATTTTTGCTTTGTAAAAAACAATCAAAGCTCATCCAACAATATTTTGAGAAAATATAACAATATTTATGTTAATTGTTTACCAAATACGAGTCACGGCTTGGCAGTACATGCTGATATTGTGTTTCTAAACTGGAACGGTGTCATGACACACTAACAGACATTCTATGGACACGAAAACAATTATAATGCATAATGCGCGTGATTTCAATAAATTGCCAATTTTTTTGCTGAAAGAGTCTATGAATCATTAAAAAGCATTTGGTTAAAACAGTGAAAAAACACATTTGACAGCAAAATTCTGTCAAGTAAATTAATGAGTTAAAAAAGGTGGAAAAGGCCTCCACAGATTGGAGGTGAGGTAGAAATCTTATGGGTTGAAGATAAATACAACAACAGATAGCTTTTATGTAGGGAATATTCTTGGTTTCCTTTTAAAGCTTTTGAAGAATGTCAAGTTCTTTTTATGAACTTGTAAAATTCCGTAGCATCACTCCGCGTGCATTCCACCATAACCCCACACATCCCATGAGACAAGGTCACCGCTCCTCCAGGCCTCATACCTATACCTCCCCATCAATATAACAGCTCAATATAAATGATGTAAATGTGAAATACAAGTCTGCTGCTTATGAGCCAAATGCACCTCATAAACTCTATTTGTCTTTGCCGTCTAGACATGTGTCATTGTGTTGCAGACGCACACACAGATCTTGTATGTGCTTCCAATCAGATCCTTTTCTGTTGCAACTTATCATCTTGTCTGCGTTTCCTGAGGTGTGGAGCCCAGTTGGAGTTTCGAACAGGTGTACTCCCTCTTCCTCTCCATTCTTTTATTCCCTCCGGATGACCTTTAGACCCTGTTTTTTCGGTTGGCGAGCCCCCTTCACCTGGCATTGTGCTGCTGGCAACACCTTCCGATTGGCTCTGGCCCCCGCCCGCGAAGGCTTTTGTCCTACTGGAATTGCAGGCTGACTTTGTTCACTTAGTTAACCTCGCTTCCCCTCCCTGCTGAGAACTCAGGCAAAGGAAGGAAAGCAAGGGGGGGTTGATGAAGAGGGGGTTAGCAAGGTGCATTAGCCAAAAAACCCAATGATGCTCGATTGGGATGGGTGACTGTATTAGAATTTATAGTTACTTACTTTTGGGGAAATTTGCAAGAAAGCATTTTCAAATCTTATTTAAGTAGATGCAAGTCTATTATCCCTATGTAAGCAAATCTGGCATTGATGGGTTTTGTTTTTTTTGCCAATATTTGTACATCTCGAACAAATTAAAATCACAGCTATGTACATGTTTTAGCTTCACTGAAACATTTAGTCCAATTGCAACTTAAATGTTTGTATGTACTTCAACGTTTCACATTATTATGTCACAAGTTAGTGGTAGTATTAGTGAAGTAGGCGGGAGATTAAGTGAACTATTCAACTGTTAAGTAATGACTTAATCTCAATAGCATCAACAAGTCAAACGTTATTGTTCGGAAGCAAATAAGGTGTAATTAAAGAACCATGGTTACCAAGACGGAATCACAGGAATGCTCCTCCAGGATGGCCTTTACTGTTATGAAACGCATTTAATAAAAACCAAATGACTCCATTAGTCAAAAGTAATGGATGCAAATACTTAGGGTTAGGTCCATCAAACACATACGGAGATGTGGACACTTTGCTTTGGTATTGGATTTCAAAAATATAATTCTAATCAATGTCCCACTCTAAATAATTGCAATTTACTTTGTGCAAAGTAATCCACAGTTTTAGACACCCTTTGAAAGGTTTTGTTAACATGCAGCTATGTGTTATGTTGAAATCCACCATGTGTAAACAAATCAGAATCAGAATTATTTTCGTTGCCATGTGAGTAACAGGAAGTCACAAACTGGGAAATAATTCATAACCAAATTATATCTATTCAATATATGTTTTTTGTCTGTTCTCAGAGTTTCAAATTTCCATACCACCTCCAACAAAGAAAACAGATTAGCTTCAAGACGAGGATTACCCATCACCAGGAGGGCGCCGCACAGACACCCCCAGCAGGTGACTGTCTTTCACTGGGCTTCAATGGACCACACTCCCCTGTCATACTACCACACTCCAGTTACACTGCAATCACCAACTCATCCAATTCATCCTCTCCAAAGACGGACCAGACACACAGCAGAAGGATTTAGTGACAAATAACTGGGGACACACAACTGAGAGAATGCAGGAAGAACTAACAAACCTTAAATATACATTTGAGTAAAGAGTGACTAAAACTAATATGCTGACTATAGTGTGGAGTGGTTTGTTTGCAATTCAGTAGTTTATGCCAGACTGAGGGCATGACTATGATTAAGATTAGGATTAAGAGATCCTTTATTCATCCCACAGTGGGGAAATTTCAGTGTTGCATGACAAGTTATAAACCAGTAGGATTGAGGAGTCCACAGCACAAGATAAGTGAACAATAGCTATACTAATTCAAATAAAACAAAATCTCTAACTCTGGCATCAAAGAACAAGTAAAACATCTCTATCTTGAACATAAGATAGAGTTAATTAAGTGTATTTGTAAAAGCGCTCATTCATACAAGGCAACTGCAAGTGCTTTCTGCTTAAAGGATCTTATATTCGTTTGATTGTTGCAGATTTTAGCTGTATGAATATTAAATGACTCCCTATGTTTAATCCTGACACTGGGTACCGTCGAACACCAGCCCCTGTGCTCCTCAGAGCCCCAGCAGGAGGACATGGAGAGACTTGTACAAAAGCCGACCTGCTTTAAAGTCTATTCTCTGAGCCACAGGAAGCCAGTGCAGAGACCTGAGAACTGGACTAATGTGATCATACTTCCTGGTTCTATTCAGGACTCAAGCTACAGCATCTTGAAAATACTGCAGCTATTTTACTGCTTGTTTGGAGAGCCCAGTGCCGTTACTATTGTCTAACATACTGGAAACAAATACAAGCATAAAAAGAAGGATACGCCTTATTATATTTTATTTTCAATGAAAGTTGTATAGCTGATTCTCTCCCCTGTAGAGAGCAATATGTTGCAAAATAAAGTAATCATCGTCCGTCACTTATATATTCATTATGTGTCATGTGTTTGGCAATGGATGCTTTTGTACACAAACTGTTTTCTGCAACCTATTTGCTAGAGTACAGTAAACACCACTAAAATCTAGAGTGTGTCGCCATAAACTGCTACTTTGTGTTTGCACATGTTCGGGACAAACCCAAACAAGACATTTTCACCTAACAGCTCTGATTTGAGTAACAGCATTGTATCCCTCTTTACATTTCATTAAGTGCTAATTAAACCCCCATGCGGCTCAGTGGCGGACACACACACACGTGCACGCACACATACACAGAGCTCATCTGGCAGCACCAAGCACACGATGACTATTCGCCCGACTCCACAATGCACTGACAACCGCCATTCACTTCCCCAAAACGCTGCATTCAACCGCTTTGAATTTCAAATAAAGTGTATCTGTGAGAAAACGTGAAGATGTGAGTCCATTGAGTGACAGACGGGGCTGGAGCCGTGGGCAGTGACAGAGGAGGAGATGGGGAGATGAGGCAGACCCGGAGGATTATAGGGGCTTTGGACAGACTCTCCAACGCTTCTTTCTGCGGGTGACACGGAGAGGTGACGGGCCATAGAGTACAGGGACAGGCCACAGGCAGCCGGGACATCTGCATTCATTCAGACAGGGCTTATGGAGGACAGGGACACGCCCTCCGGAGACGCCCTCCCAGCACACTCCCACACTCGGGACTATACGCTATATACGAGGTGTGGGTACAGATAAGAGGGCAATATTGTGAGCGATGTATGCGCGTTTTCCCATTATACTGTCTTTGTATGTCAAAGTCGAGAAACTTTGTTGGATCTTTTCGGTGAATTGCTACATAGCATGATCTGCATATTTGTCGTCCATAATGACAAATTCAGATTAGTTCAGGTATTAGCAGATGACATTCTGAAGACTTGAGATAGAACTCTTGTTAAGCAGTAGTAAACAAAATGTAATACACATACAACACAACTTTTAATAGACCTGATCTCAAATCTCAAGCCATCGCATGCTAGGGCTCTAACAACTCCATAGATCAGAACCAATAGATTCTTGATATGTTTGTCATCTAATTTTGCAATTGATGAATCGCTTTCTGAACTATAAATGGAACATGATCATTCGAATATGATCTTAATTATAATCCAAAATCTTTTTATTGCCAATGTAAATAACAAGAACTCATTAACAAGAAATTGACTTTGTTATGTGGTGCAGACAAGTAAAACAAGAATAGTTATAAAAGGCCTGCATACAAAAAACTTTGATAAAATGTGAGTTTGGAAATACACACAATAGACATTTAAAACTGAGGATTATTCACAAGTTCCCAGGTGTATGATATAAAAAAGGGCGACAGAATTAGTAGTACATAAAGTGAGATTTTTTCACTCTAATTCTTCAATGACTTCAGAATGAAAGGACGCCTGGTAATTTGGTAATTTGCTCACCAAATTATTTTAACTCAAACAGTGCAATGTGTCACAGGTCATGTCTATGAAGAGGTTCTCCAGGGGCATCACTTGAGCGTTGTTTGGTCAAATGTATGAAAATCCCATATTCCCTGACCTTTCAGAATGTACACGACTGCAAGGATAATCGGCCAACTAATAGATTATCAAAATTGCATGTAACTACCAACTATTAATGGGTCAAAGAACTGCCTGTCTGTTAAAATTGCTCAAACATGTAATGGAGAAAATGTAGGAAACAACTGGGTCTTTGTAACTAACGTCAAAATATATAGTATGAATGAACTCATTTCCTCACTGTTTCAACTGTCTCTTCTACTCTCCAAATCATCATGTTTGGGGCACTCCTTGACCTTTGAACCTACAGATCAAAAACTAAAGGATACAGTTTGAATGCAGCCATATCCTCTCTGTCCCGACTGTCTCTTCTACTCTCCAAACCTTCATGTGTCAACTTTGAAAGCCAAGTGCTCTCGCCCGCGACATGATTGCATACCGACTACTCGTTGGCCTTGGGAATGGCTGCTGCTTTCCCACTGACAGCACTTTGACTGATGGGTCTATGCGATGCTTATGTGAACAAAAACAGCTCCAGACACCTGCCTCTCCTCCTCCTATCATCCAAACTCTCATGAGGAGTCCCGGAGAAAGACCCTGCCCAGCCAGTTAATCCTCACTCCCATTCACCATCACTGCTAATCTCCGGCACCACCTCCCCGCGGCCACCTCAACCTCCCCACTCGAGAGGTGCACAAAAGCTCGATCGCACCCCTGCCCTCCCCGCACCCCTAACCTGCCCCGCCCACGGGCCCTACAGCAGGAGGTACCCGGCTTTCTAAATCCAAGAAGCGTAATCCGGAGGGGCTGAGATTCGGAGAAAACCTAAAGGCTCATTGAGTGTTGGATAACTCTCTCGCTGCTCCTAAGTCTGGCCGGTATTGTTGGTGGCGCTGAGAAGAAGACAGGCACAAATGGAGTTTGAATTTCAATGTGCATAATGATTCAGAGAAAGAGACAGCGGAATATGGAGTGGTGGGCATCCAGGCGTTACAGGGAGTCCCGAGGCGGAGGCACAGAGCAGGAAATATACATGCAAATGCTATGGAAGAGTGGTCGGCTTCTCTCAGCTGTGCCACAATGGACAGACTGTTTGGGAGAGTGCAAACAGGTGAACGATCTCGCAAAGTGATGGAACTAAGTACGTCTTTAAAAGCGCATTCTCAAGAGGGTTAACAAACAAATGTCTAAAAGGAGGAGATGAATAGACGTCAGAAAACAATGACGTTAAAAGAGGCCAAAATGGTTGGCCCTATGCCACACATAAACACATTCGACCTCCCTAAACAAAATCAAGTGATTTCCTGCAAAAAAGTACATGCAGTTAATTAGTTTATCATTCTCTTAATAGAGCTTCTTTCTCAGCCCATCACAAAAAACTCCTGTCCCAGCAGAGAGCTACACCATCTGGGGATACATCTTCGGATCTCGAGTAGGACATTAGCTATTGGGAATGTTTTTGGTTGAAACATGCGTTAAGACAATGTTCAGCTTGGGAATCAAGTTATGTTAAGTTCTTTATTTTATACTTACAAACAGATTAGGGTCCAACCTAACCAGCATTCTTTTAGTGGTAGTAGAAAAGGCAGCACCAGGAGGAAAGCAACACAGTCAACGGGAGAACATGCAAGCTTCACTTGGTCAGAAGCGAGATATAACGACTTAAAGAATTCCAGTCGTATCACCATAACCAGATACAAACACATTGAATATATAAAATAGTTGCCTATTTGAATAAAACTTAACATTATCAACAGGGGCGACAGTAGCTCAGTTGGTAGAGCATTGGCCTTAAGGCCAGAAGGTCGTGGGTTCAAGCCCACCACGGGACCTTCTCCACCGACTCCCACTGACGACTGCTGTCGTTGTGTCCTTGGGCAAGACACTTAACCCCACTTTGCCCAAAAGCCCCCACTGAAAGATCAAGGCTATGCTCACACTCAGAGAGCAGCCGTCCTCCTGTGGACTCACCACCTGCAGAGGGTCAGTGAGGGTCTGGTGCTATGAGACTTGGGTGGCATCTCTGATTGCCACCCCCCTGACCCAGAAATGGATTAAAGGGTAGAAAATGGATGGATGGATGGATTATCAACAGGGGAGGTGAAAGGGCAGGGATTTTAGAGTTTTACATTAAAGACGCTAAAGACGCACCTCTTTAGGTTATTCAGGAGGGGGCTTTTTTACACACATTTTAAGACTGTAATTGATTTACCAGAGAAAGATAAGATAAGATAAACTTTAATGATCTCACAATGGAGGAATTCAAATGTCACATTTGGCAAAATACAGGAAATGTCCAAACATGAAGTAAAAAAGGTAAAGAGGTTTTTGTACAAGGTATTTTTTATTGATTTAAAATGAAAAGTGACCATAGCAGTGTGAAAAGCAGTGGTGGAGGATCTTGCTCCAGATCAACTGGGAGGTGATCTTCTTGGACCAGAGCTTAAGCAGTATCGAAGATTCTATTGTTACAGGGGCGGCAGTAGCTCAGTTGGTAGAGCGTTGGCCTTTGAGCCAGAAGGTCGTGGGTTCAAGCCCCGCTCAAGACTTTCACCATCGACTCCCGCTGACTACTGTTGTTGTGTCCTTGGCAAGACACTTAACCTCTGGGAACACCAGCCACAGTGGGGCGGCTGCGGCTGTAAAGTGCCAAACTGCTGTTGTGTCCTTAGGCAAGACACTTCACCCCCATTGCCTAGAATGAGTCTGGTGTGTGTGTGAATGGTTGGTGGTGGTCGGAGGGGCCGATGGCACATACTGGTTGCCTCGCTTCTGTCAGTGTGCCCCAGGGCAGCTGTGGCTACATTAGTAGTTTATCACCACCGTGTATGGAGTGAATAAATAATGACACATGTGAAGCGTCTTTGAGTGTCCAAAAAAGCGCTATATAAAACCGATGCATTATTATTGTCACTGGACTATAAATGGACTGTCTAAACATGTGGTCTGAGAAATATGGCTTCATTCAGCTTAAACCGGCTTTATAAAATCAGTATTTTATAAGTATCTATTTAAAATGTTGTGTGATTATTCATAATTTGACCCTGAGTTTCCACTTTGTATGAATTGTGCTGTACCAATAAACTTTCCTTACCATGCAACCTTACAATAGAAAACATATTCAGAAAAAAACTGACTTTCCCCCCGCGTCCCACTCTGAACTCCTCAGTCTGAAGACCTCCTCCTCTCCATATACTGTACATCTTATTAACCGGAGCACTCCTTCCCATAACTCTCCATGCCTGTACCTATAAACCACCGGGGCCCTCATATCTCACCCCCTCCCCTGTTATGAATAAAGTCCTGAAATTTATTGTGATGGCATTGAAGAGTAGTCGCCCCCTCCCTCAGGTGACAAACTCCCCCCGGCCCGACAGCTCGCGGCCGTCCAGATGGGATAGAGCCCACTTTATCGCTCCCCGGTTGGTGACATCACCCCGCCGCACTGCATCGTGGGATTGATGATGAAAGCAAACATATCTATCTCAGCTCAAATCAATTGTTTTTTTTTTTACAGACCCTGGCCCAGTCTTATTGGCATATTGACGGCGTGCGCATAGGGGGAAGAGGGGAGGGGGTGACTCTCAAAGACGTTTACCATATTTAATGCAAAAGAGATGTCATCTGCGAATATCCGTTCTGAATAATGTGGCGTTTCATCATAAATTCTTTACAACTTATTTACTTAATGGAAAGACTTATGGCGTGCTGTCAGGGCGGTAATTAAACATGGTGATACAGTGTTGTGTCGCTGGGGTCTCATCTCAGAGCCCCCCTCCTCCCCATCTATTCGTCTGGCCCGGGACACGCACACACACTCCCATCTTTTTAAATACATATTATTCTTATTCAAGCCTCATAAATTAGAGCCAGATTAAAATTCATGATAATACGTCGTCCTTTATTTCCTTCTATGGGGAAATATGAAGAATAGTGAGATTGTCCGCATGGAGCTGCTTGTAAATCTGCTTTTGTTATTGAATGTTAGGATTTATACGGTCAAAAAAGCATTGATCACAAGCCATTACTAACAGCAACTATTTAGAAAGTTATTTTTAGCTTGATTTAACATGTTGTTACTTGAAAGGCACAGCATGGTTTTCAATATAATTCAGTAAAAATTAATCATAGTCTGTGTTGTATGTATGTTGGGCACAAGCTCTCTGTAGGCTCTGAAAGTTTGTATATATAAAGTGAAAAGATAAATCATTGTTCTGTTTATCCTGTTTTGAGGAGGGATCAATTATCAGTGGAGTTATTTGGTATTTACCGATATATCTGTATCCCCCACCCCGATATTTTTTAAATTAAAAATTCATTACAATTTTCAATTCTGTAAACACACGTAACTGCCTTGTTGAGCAAACATGGTTCAGGCATTCCAAGTGTTTGAATTTACTATATGTTGGTTATTTTCCTCTTTTCATATGAATTATCATATCGGTTGACCTCTAATTTGAAAAATGCAAATGTTTCCATTCATGAAATATATTGCAAATGCAGAACTTTGTGGTAATAGATGCCGCTATACACTCAATTTGATTTTACTATTGAAGATCAGAGGTGCCATCTCACTTTCCCATAGCCCTTAAAACTTGAGGAGCAATTCTCTTGTTTATTTTCTTGACCACACAACTCAATGAATCCCATCCTCTCACAAAGGAACAATGTGCTGTGCTGAGAGTGAAGAGTTAATTCCACCTCTCCAAATTAGGGAGGACCCGTTTGAGCAGAGTAAATGAGGCGGATTGTCTGTCTCTCGCTCCATAAAAGCTGAGCCACTGACACTGACTGAGGCCACACCAGACCTTTGGCCTTGTCCTGTGACCCCGACTTCAATCCCTTTATGTCGCTGACCAATATGTGATTTGCCAACGGCCGCTGTGGGTCCCTAACCGTGCTGACCGAGGGATTTATGGCTTTTCATTTTAATTGAGTTAAGAGCAAAGAAGCCTGTCGGTTTTCTTTCAATAGCACCGGCCGACCGAAGATGAGATCACTGGACAACCGCAAAGAAGGAGCATCTCTAGTTAAATGACTTGGTAGAACACGTTTGTAGGCTTTAATGGTTAAGCCAAAAGATATACAGAAATCATTCGAGGATAATTGTTGTGATTTTTTTTATTTTTATACTTTTGTCCAATGGTAGAGTCAAAACCTGCAGTGAATTTACCAATTCTGTTACTTTCGTGGGATTATGACCATAACTTATCTTACCTGCTTCAACTGACAAGCAGTTGTATGATTGTAAATTATGCATAATTTCTTGATTTGTTCACCATCAAAGAAGGAAAATGTAAAAAGAATTGAAGAATAAATGTTGGTTTTATAATAAACATTTTGCGGAATAGCCTATTCAATGCTGTTTGTTTGAACAAGACAAGGTAAATAAATATTGCTGTAATTGCAGAGATCGTAATGTGTTTATTCAACCACAGTTGGTGAATGTTCCTCTCATTAACAACTACCATTACTCTGGCCAGATGTGAGTACTTTCATTGCATAAAAAAATGATACTATAAGAATACCAGGTACACATTTATGTATTTAGAGTAACCCGATAGAAGCATTAGGATATGGGCCTGGATCAAGGAAACAGTGAATGTGATTCTTGTTTTGTTGTTAGAACAAAAAAAGTTAGAAAGTTCAAGAGCAATATGAGCACAATCAAACTACACACGGAAAATTACACAGATTTAGCTTTACCTCCTAGAATTTGAGTCAATGGATAAAACACTGATACAAAATGTACATACACGGCCATAAATCTGTCAGTTTTCTTCCGCGGCATCTGTTGCCGGGGTGACAGTGGCAGCAGTCTAATCATAAACATTCAGACTTATCCCCAGACACTACCTCCAGCTGATTGATCGGAAATCTCGTAGGGTTCCCTGGCCTGGAAAAGACATAGTACCTCCAATGTGTCATGGGTCTTCCCTGGGGTCTCGTCCCGGTAAGAGATGCCCGGTACACCTACCCAGGGAGACGTCCAGGAGACTTCTGATACAGATGCCCAAGCTATCTCTGCTTGCTCCTCCCCAAGTTGGAGAAGCAACTCTACTCTGATCTTCCCCCATGAGACCGAGCTCCTAACCCAATCTCTATGGGAGCACTCAGCCAATCTGCAGAAGAAACTCATTGTGCCTGTTTGTATATGTGATCTTGTCCTTTTGGTCATTACCCAAAGCTCTGTGGGTGAGGGTGGGAACTGACCGTTAAACCAAGAGCTTTTCCTTTCGAATCGGTTGCTTCTCAAACACAACAGTACGATACAACGGCCGCATCACAGCACATTCTGCACTAACCTGTCTTTTTATCGTCCGCTCCATCCTTCCTTCTTTGTGACCTAAAATAACTTGAGGAAGAAGCTCTATACCCACCTGGAGAGGCCAAGACATCGTTTTCTGGTCAAGCACCATGGCCTTACAGCAATGTAACTATATTTGTAATTTGCGTCAATACATGTGACAGTCAGACAAACTAAAACATTGTCCACACAAGACACTTGGAATAACTGAACTAAGCAAAGTATACAAGTTTGAAGTGTCTTACCTCCCAGCCGTGTCTGCGATCTAGAAGACAAGCCGTCCGCTCTCCATCGTACGGTCCAAACCTTTCATCGACCTCCACCTTCCTGTGAGTCCAGACACCCAAACCTTCATCGGTGGCCGAAGATTGTCTCAGCTCGAAGTCCTCCGGAACGCTCAAGTCGTCCTGGGTCCAACTCAGACTGTGCTGATGGAACTGGAAGGACGGTGAGATGTCCTCCTCAGACAGAGCAGGAGATGGCTGGTCTTCTGCGAGCGTGGAGAAGTGAGAAGCGACGCCGTTGGAGACGCAGGCATCGTCGAGGAGATCAGATGGGTAGAGGTCGAAGTTTTCATCTCCGTCACCTGTCGGACAGAGAAGAATCAAAAGTGAGGGAAACGTTTGCAATGTTTTTAGAAGTGGTCAGCGTACCAGTTTTCATTCCAACCATCACACACTAAACCCCACCCATTCCATCTTAACCTGAAGACATGATACAGTTGAAAGTGGTTGGAATGAGCTTGGTTGGAATGAAAACCGGCAGCCTTGAAACATCTAGGACCAGTTTCAAGGCCACCAGTGTTTAGGTTGAGATTCGATGATAGCTCGGGATTCGGTGAGCAACATTTTTTAGTGGAATTGTGAAAATGTTTTAGATATTTTGTAGAACATATTTCATTCATAAATAAGAGCGTCTATGCGTCAATTCTATGAACACATCAGACCACAATATGCAGTCTTTGTGAAAACATGTACGAAGGTGCCCATGTAAGTCAATATTTGGTGCTTTGGGCTGAGAGTCAGGCTGGTCCTCACCCTTTTTTTTATTTCTGAAAAAGCTGCCCTAAATATGTGACAGAGGCCAAAAATACATGCATGTGAAAACTAGCATGAACACTGCTTAGAGAGCGAGGAACTAGTTAAATTAGTAATAACTTCAAATTGAGTACAAATACCAGACCCCACACTACACAGTATTCTCACATTCTGAAGTAGAAATATAATCGCAATCTGAGACGCAGCTTGTTTTCCCATTCATGTTCTACAACAATGACCAAAGCCCACAAAGCAGCCCCCTGACCCTCATCCTATTTGAAATGGAAACAAGAAGTTAGTGAAGCGTAACATGTCTTCTCGCTATAAAGATCTGCTCAAATAAACATCACAGGACGGGCTTTTCAAACAAGAGTGTTTATCACGTGTTAAAACAATTTCTTTTTATTGATCGTGTCATGAAAGGCTGTAGATCACCGCTTTCTTCCCAAGTTAGTTAGAATTCAGAGAGCTTGGAGAGTAAAGCAGGCGGAAGTAAAGTTTCTAGAGTGTTTTGGAGTTAATTGTGAATAGTACTTGAACCAATAGATCATCCCATTTTGTAATATAAAAATTATTACAATTTGATCATTCAAGTCAAATAATGAACACCATTATTTTAATTTTACAAAAAAAATGTATTAATTTAACATACAATAATTATATAACACTTTTTTATAACATATTTGAACTGAAATTATGTAAACCTGAAGTTATCGTGGAATCTTACACAACAGTATTTGACTTGAATATTTCACCAACATAAAATAAATCATTGTTTCATATTCCACAATAACCAAATTGAGAGAATGTGTGCCATGGGCATACTTTAGAAAGTTAATTAGAAAAGAGTATAAAAAACATTGATAAACTTTAATCATTAAGACATCAAAAAGACCTCCCAAGTGGTAGAAGAAGGACGTATAGTAAATATTACATTATGTAATTAAAGGTATATGCAGTTGTTTTGGAGGCAATAATTGTGTTTTAAAAGGTATAAACAGCTCTGTCCGTGCTATTGTAGTTTTTGAACTCCTCATGTACCAATTTCGACCTAAAACCCTTTTCTCTGTTTCTGTTACAAACTCATACAAAATTATCATAAAATGTGATATATGTTCTATCATGTGGTGATACTATTGCGATATGCACATCATATAAAATAGAGAAGCTCGTAATTCTCATGTTCGATCATTGCTTTCACCATAATCACATAAGCTAAACCATATTGCTGGAACACTCGGTATTCAGAAAACTCTGTAGCCTCCATATTATTGAATTGCATGTCCAGTTGAAGTTTCCCTGTAGCCGTACCTGACCGCTCTGTAGAACTATTGTGTTTGACATTCTTTCTGTGTGGGCCCAGAGTGTTTGAGAAAAGACTCTTAAAGGCTACGGAGATCCTGGAAGCTGAAGCTGAGAGTGAGCATAATGATTTTCAGCACTGCGACTGTGTAACGCGGTTAGAGTCCTGAACCAGAGGCTTGCCATATGGTGCGGGGACAAGCGCTTTTAAAGGTAACTGTATCCATCCATTGCCGTTTCTCCTCTGACATTTCCCCTCTCACGCTGGTCTCCAAGTTTATATTTGATTTAGCGCAGAAATTCCCCCTGCTCCACTGGACTCAACAAGCGCATTGCAGCTCATAAACATATATGTTTCTATAAGGTAAACGTTGGCCAAAAGCAAATATGCATCTTGCAGGGTTTTAAAAATTGCGGTCTGCTGAGCGGTTGATGGATACGTCAAAGAGCGTGGCGGTGCTGGGGCTGTGATGTGGCCCATTGAAGAGCGAGCACGCAGGCGAACACAGACTTAAACACTGTTTATTTGTGCCGTATAATGGACATGACTTCATCAGTGTGAGATGATGCCCTTCATCAAAGAGACTGCATGGACACAAGAGTGGGCAGAGAAAAGACTTGGAACAGAACATAACACATGAGACAAGATTGTTAGTTCAGAAGAATAGAGACAGCATTGATCATTCTTCTAAACAATATTTGAATGGTTTTATTATTTCTATTCCCAGACTTTTGATACAACTGTGAACTGTCATTCTCTTTAAGATACAGCTGCAGTACAAACACATTGGGCAAAGCAGAGATTAAATCAGTCTTCATTCTCTAACTTGCCCGAGGTTTCTAAAATGTTTCCCACTGGGTTTTTTGAGTTGTTCCTTACCGATGCAGGAGTGCCTAAGGACAGTTATGATCCAGGATATGAATGGGCATTGGTCATCCTGCTCCCTATGGACCAATGGCTCTTACTGTATGTGTTAGTTATTACTGCATTTACTGTCTTCAAACAATTAAGCGCTGATTTGTTGTTAGTGAAACGACAACCTTATAAATTCCTCCGTCACAACTGCTGTTGTAATTTAGGACTTTACAAAGATACATTGAATTTCAAAATCATAAACTTCGGAAATGTGTCAAATAGTACCTGCTTCATTTGGATTAATTACATGTACTTGATTGTTTTTTGGTGGAGCTAGTGCCTGTTAACGAACGCACCTCTCTGGATTGGAGCCTTTAGAAACCTAAACTCCATACAGAAATGCCCCCTCTGGTGATGGCTTGAACTTCCAGCCAATGTACTGCCCTTAAACCTCCTCAAATCTTCCTTAAATGTATGTGAAAAGTAAAAGATAAACCTTTTTATCCTCAAAACACAACCATATATTGACAAAAACCTGAGTCACGCCAGAAATCAAGTTGCACGGACTATTGCCTATTGTCTTTAACAATATTATGGCACTGTCAACACACTTCATAGTTGCGACCAAAACGCACCGAATGCATCTAATTGTCTATGCATTGGTGCTACTACCACGCAACATCAATTATTCAAATTTTCAATCCCAATATCAAATTCATTAAAACCTGTTTGGAGAGAATAGATTTGCCGCGGTGGCGTTATCTGTCCGGGTATAGAATGATCCTCACCTCTGCCACAAGGTGTTGGACGGAGCCATACATCACACGATTACCCCGAGCAGCAAGCAGGCCCCAGTCATCAGGGAGTGAATTAAACATGATAGAAAGAGCTATTAATCACAGTGACAAAGCCCCTAATGGAGGAGTGACCCGGGCCGAGCCGAGGGGGACGCACCCACGGGACAAATGGATACACATGTTTACAAAGAGCAATAACCTATACCTGTGGACAGAGCATCCCCAGTGCGTCAGGACAAGGACTGACATCTCAAGTCGGGCTGAGAATGTGGTTGTCTTGTCTTGGAGGTTGTGTGCAAAGAGGTATGGTTTGATCTGCCATGTATTGTTAGACATTTTGACAACATGAAAATTATATATAAAAAAGGAAAAAAAGAACAACTCTATTACAATAGAGGGCAGCAGTTTTTGTCTGCAAGAAAGTAAGTAAAGAGCGGTGGCTTTAGTCGCTGAAAATGGGGGTTGTCTGAGCAACGGTTTACTGAGTGCGTTGGATGAACATGTATGGCTTACCTTAAGTTCAAGTTTATAATGAGGTACGGCTGACAAACTTGCGTTGTTTAGACCAAAACAGTCACAAACGGTCTAGTATGTTGGTATTTAGGTTGATATGCTACCCAGATTAAACTCGCTTGTTCATGAAAATGATATGTTTCTTTGGTTGAGAACAGCCCTAAAAATGTGTATACCAATTCAAAAAGCTTTTCTTTAAAGGTACATTGCTAGAAGATCCAGCCAGATTCCAACGAACCAAAGCAAGAAGCGGAAATTGAAAATACTATTCAATACACTTGAAGTAAATGTGAGGGGTTTGCATAAGAAAAAAAATGCTTAGAAAATCTATGCATGTCATCCATCAATTGTTCTTCCACTTTATCCATTGCCTCGGCAGTCCCCTGTGCAGTCAGACTCATGAACACTTCATAACTCGTCACTATATCCCTTATGCTACTGTCACTTTATTGTCACATTAACTGCATTGCTAAATGTCTATTGTTGGTACTCAATGCACTTGAAGATATTTGTAAATTTAAGATTTTCATGAATATTTGTATTTTATTATTTGTTTTTCTCTTATAACTTCTTTGCACCTTTAGTCAAAGCAAATTCCAAGTTTGTGACTTTCTCTTTCTTAAGATGACAATAAGAAAATAATAATTCCGATTTTGTTGGGTCGCAGATGCAGCGCCCGAAGCAGAGACGGCCAGAATTCCCAATCCACACACTCTCCATGCATGTCATTCAGGCCTAAATTGAGAATGGAAAACAAAAAAAAATCTCCATGTTGAGCTGCACACGTATTCCTACACATGCTCTACAATATGAAGAGTGAAATATGCTCATTTATCATCGGCTAAAGGAGGACCCAATGCACTGATCACTTCATCACGGCACATTCAGGGGGCTAATGTCAGACTGATGGGAGGCTTTTCATGAGGAAATATGGAGATGGACTTTCACCTCCTCCGTGAACATGACCGCGGGGCTCTCATGTATCCGTGTCCGGCTCATGTGCACAGTGTGATAACAGCCCGAGGGGTGAGGAGGGGGTCTGCATGGTGGTACAGGTCAAACATAATCACACATCATCCCCTGCATTAGTCTTCATCCCAAATGTGAAGCGGCTCCATTTGTCATACGCCCTGCAACCTGGTGTCTCTTTTATATCTT